GGCATTGGCTCTCTCAGACACAGGAAAAGCTTCTAGCAGCTTCTCACAGAAGCCACCCCTGTAGCCCCCCTGCTACCAAAACCTTGCCACGCAAAACCAACACAACGTGGTAGAACTTTTTGTCCTAAAAAATAATATAGTGAATAGTATATGGGTTTTTGAAATATTTTTTAAGTCATTGGTGCAAAGTGAATCTTTCAGAAAGTAAATTTCTGGCATGTTTGTGTATGGATAATTTGGCACTGTGTATAAATGCATTATCATGCAGTTCTTACCTAATTATACGCTCTTTTTCTACACAGTGCAAACTGAAAAAAATATGGGAAAACTCTATTAAACAGAATGCATGGAACATCTAGGTAGCATAACACAGAACCAAAGAAGGCTTACAACCCTCAGAATCTCTTCTTCATCCTCCCAGACCTGATGTGTTAGGCGTTATCACAGGAGTAGGTTATCATCAGCCATGGAGACAGGGTAGTGAACGCAAGGCCCTCTTTTTATTTAGTATGTGTGTTTCAGAGGTTTACTGACAGCAATAAATGGTATAAAGCTCCTTGCAGAAAAGACTGTCTTCTAACCCTCAAATGTTATACTTTTTACTATAAAAGAGCAGAAAATTGCTGGATGGTAGAACATTACAACAGGGACCTCTATGGCCCAGTATCCTATACTGCAAGAATAACCTCAATAGGCATTAAACAGTCATTAAACAATAGAACAGATGAAAGAAAATGCTGAAGTTCAGGTATACTGGATCCTACTTAACTTGTACAGGAAGTAACACAAAAAGTTACAATGTGAGAAAAATATTTTGCCAAATCTCATTCTAAGCAATGATCAACTACATTTGCTGAAATTTTCATAAATAAGAATTTTTGGTGTAATGGAGACAAGAATTATTCAAGTTATAACCCCAGTGGTTAAACTTTACAAATTACAAGCTACTGAAGAGGTGACATTAAAATGTACACGATCAAGAAACTCAAACCTCTGCCACTAGAGAAATAAACTATCACCATTCTAAAGATTGTTACTCACAGGAAAACAGAAGGGTCTCCTTTCTCTTCTTCTGATGATAGAGGAGATGCCTAATAATTCGTCTGCATTTCAGGTTTAAAGGTGAGTTAAAGGTAGACTCCATAAGCTTCCTGTCGTTGGATAGATAATAGGCTTCCTGTAGGTCCTCAGCAGCACAAACACTGGACCAAGCACTCACAGAAGTTTCCAGACATTACACTTCCAGAGCCCCTTGAATTTTATGTCAATGCGACATTTTTGTAAATTTTATCCATGTTCTTAGAAGGATATTTTACCTTGGCTTAATGCCCTGAATGTAGAAATATCTACTACATGCTTTGGAATTCTTCCTTAACAATAGTTTGGAAACTTAATATTGAAAGATACTTATTATTTTTCTGGAGAATTTGAATGCTGATATGATCTAAAAAGATGCTGAATAGCAGGTGCATGGTTATTCTTTGCAAACACCCACTTAAAGCAAACCATGCATTCAAAGTGGTTGTGTCTTCACATTGGGATTATTTTGCTCCTAGTAGTCAGTATTTTACAAATTTGACATAGTTGTAGTTGTAGGCCTGTTCTTTTTCGTATTTCTACCTAGATCAAAATTTATCAATGTACTGTAAATGGGTAATAGATTATTTTTTTTCTGGAAAGCACTGTTTTACCAGTAAAATCTCATGCCAGCATAGATGCTTTATAAGTGTGGTGGGTCGACCCTGGCTGGAGGCCAGGTGCCCACCAGAGCCACTCTATCGCTCCTCCTCCTTAACTAGACATGGGGGGAAAAGTGTAACGAAAGGCTCGTGGGTCAAGATAAGGACAGGGAGAGATCACTGACCAATTGCTGTCATGGGCAAAACAAACTCAACTTAGAAAAAAATTCATCAAATTTATAATCAAGCAAAACAGAGTACAGCAATGAGAAATAAAATCAAATCTTAAAACACCTTCCCCCACCCCTCCCTTATTCCTGGGCTTAATTTTATTCCTGGTTTCTACCTACTCCCACTCCGGCGGCACAGGGGGACGGGGAATGGGGGTTGTGGTCAGTTCAGCACATGTTATGTCTGCCGCTCCTTCCTCCTCAGGGGGAGGACTCCTCACACTCTTCACCTGCTCCAGCGTGGAGTCCCTCCCATGGGAGACAGTCCTCCACCAACTTGTCCAACGTGAGTCCTTCCCACGGGCTGCAGTTCTTCACAAACTGTTCCAATGTGGGTCTCTCCCACGGAGTGCAGACCTTCAGGAACAGACTGCTCCAGCGTGGGCTTCCCACAGGGTCACAGCCTCCTTCAAGTGTCTCCACCTGCTCCAGCGTGGGGTCCTCCACAGGCTGCAGGTGGATATTTGCTCCCCATCATCCTTCCTCCATGGGCTGCAGGGGGACAGCCTGCCTCACCATGGTCTTCACCACAGGCTGCAGGAGAATCTCTGCTCTGGCATCTGGAGCACCTCCTCCCCCTCCTTCTGCACTGACTTTGGTGTGCAGAATTTCTTACATCTTCTCACTCCTCTTTCTGGCTGCAGAAGCTCCCACTAGTGTTTTATCCCTTCTTAAATATGTTATCACAGAGGTGCTACCACTGTTGCTGGTTGGCTTGGCCTTGGCTAGCGGCAGGTCCGTCTTAGAGACGGCTGGCATTGGCTCTGTCGGACACAGGAAAAGCTTCTAGCAACTTCTCGCAGAAGCAACCCCTATAGCCCCCCATGCTACCAAAACCTTGCCATGCAAACCCAATACAATAAGAAACACTTTTTTTTTAAAGAAGTAATTATTTCTTACATCCTGCAGTAATTAACAGATTCCATGCTAGAAATTTTTCTCTGTGTGTTGCAAATCTGCTCAACTTTATGCACCTTGCATGGAAAACCAAGGATTCATTAATTTTATACTTTGTACTGTGCATTTCCCATCCTCAAGATGCTCTGGAAAAGAAGATATAAAATGAATATACTAAAACAATGCTCTTTTTTTTGAGCATCTTTTTTTAAAGCAGAGTGTCGATTCTGCTCTAAAGTTTAGTCAAACTAAGCTTCAGTAATCTCTGCAGAAAAGAACAGAGTTAGTATCTTCAAAGAAGGCTAGATACTGGTGAGTTACATTTATTTCTCTTATCTGAAACTCTTGCTGCAGATTCTCTCTACAGATGTCTAGAAAGCAGGAATAAAGCTTAAAAGGTAAGTTAAGGAGTTCTGTTTAAAACAAAAACTGAACTGCTGTTTTGCCAAACCAGACATTTCCTCATGTGTGGAAGTGCAAAGATCTGAGAAAAGAGAAGTATGAATTAGTGTTTCAATTTGCGTTCATTTATTGGCAGTCTGAGTTTTCAATACAATTTGTACAGGAGGCAGTGGGTCTTCTGAGTATATTTGGTTTGTATCAGCGCTTGAAAAGCTGAGAAGACTACAAGCAATTACTGGGAAATTTATAAATATTCACTAAAATGCATTGTTCTCTGTTTTGCTCTAGCTGAATTCAAGAACATATGTGGGAATATTCTTGGTTTCACTTTTGACATTCGTACTGGAAAAGCTGTTGGTAAGTTTTACTAAACTTATTTTAACCAAAAATTGTTTTGCACCAGGTTATTGCAGCTGCTGAATGGTACCAAAATGAACATTTCACATAATAAAGTTCCAATTTCTTTGTGGAGTTACAATGGTGACATAAATTGTGCGACCAATTTTTATGTAAAATATTTCTGATTTATATTTTTTTATTTGTACATTTTGTTATGATCTTTTGCTCACCCTCCATCCTAGTTAATTTTTTTGAGTTTTGCTTGGTAAAGTAAAAGGTTTGGGCTTCAAAAACGTTGTGGGACTTATCTGCACATTTGTAACAGTTCCGCATCTTGTCTAACGTTTAGTATTACTCTGTTTTGATCACTTCCTGAACTTCATATAATTTATTTTCTCTCATAATGGGTATATGTTTAGATTTATATCCTGTATACAATTTCTGTATGTTAAAAGGAAATTCTCAACTCAACTTTAAGCACAGTGAAATTGAGAATCCAAGCAGTCCGTAAAGCCATCAAGTACTGTACTTTGACTAGCTCATCTCACTTTCAGACATTGATGAATGTAAGGAAATCCCAGGAATCTGTTCAAATGGCGTTTGCATCAATCAGATTGGCAGCTTCCGCTGTGAATGCCCCACTGGATTCAGCTACAATGACCTGCTCTTGGTCTGTGAAGGTGATTTGAAACAGAGTTATTTTCTACGTAGGCCCCATAAGCATGCTTATTTGGAAATAAGTGGAACATTTAATTCACATGTTTTTTCAAAATCTAAGAGACAGACTGTAAGCTTTTTTGTAGGAGTCAGGTCTATAAATCAGTTGGTGACATGTTTGTCTTTAATACATATGCATATAAACTTAATAAAATTTGTAATAGTTTTGTGTCAAGCAATTCACTGACTCCTGAATAGCAAGTAAATGAAATGCTTTTAATTAATTTTACTTTATTTTAGGGAGGGAATTTAATTCTTGTTCTTAAAACTTCTCAAAGAAAAGTTTCCTTGATTTTTTCCACTTCTCTCTTCATAGAGCTAATAGTGAAATTTAGTGTGTCCTAAAGTCAATAGAAGTTTTGTCATTGGTATCCAAGGGTCTTGTGCTGAGATGTGCACCTTAAAAAGCTAAGCAAATGTGCAGCTACTATTTCAGTTCAAAGGCACAGAGGAACACTTTTTAATACAAAACCTAATTTCTTTATGCAGACATTTAAAATTGCTTAGCCACTTCAATGTGTAGTAAGTTGGATTTGCAGGAACCTCCTTCATCCAAAAAGTGTGTTATGGATGTAATTGTATTGATTTTGCTTTTCATTTGCGTTTACGGCACAGGAGGCTGAAGGTCAGAATATTCATGCTTTGTTGAGGACAAAGATTCATCTTGCACATGACGGACAATACAGACTAAATTCTAGGCAGATGTAACTGTCTTGTGGTTTCTGATGTCTGAACCATGACACTTGGTATTTCAGATATTGATGAGTGCAGCAATGGAGACAGTCTCTGTCAGAGAAATGCAGATTGTATCAACAGTCCTGGTAGTTACCGCTGTGAATGTGCTGCTGGTTTTAAACTTTCACCCAATGGTGCCTGTGTTGGTAAGAAATCAGTTGACCTTTCTCATCAATTTTAATCTGTTTGTACCTAAACAATGGCATGTGCAAGATTCTTTCAAAGGGTAAAAGCATCATTTATTTTCTGTTACCTTGCATATTTTGCTGTTTTATGTCACAGTTTCTAATTTATAGCCCTGCTGCTCTGTAGAAGGGAAGAAAAGACAGGGTAAAATTTTTAAAGAACATTCTTGATATATCAACCAAATCCTAACAGTAGTTTTGACCTCGAGGTGTATACACAAGAAGTTCCTATAAAATGAAGTTTTGTTATGATTCGGGTTTAGTTATGGATAATTTTGAGTCTGGTTTTAATAATAATAACAACATTGTAAAAACATATTTGTGTAAAATGAATGAATAATAAAAGTCAATAATGTGAACCATCTGGTTTATATTTTTGTTATAGATCGCAATGAATGTCTGGAAATTCCTAATGTTTGCAGTCATGGTTTATGTGTGGACATACAAGGAAGTTACCAGTGTCTATGTCACAATGGTTTTAAGGCATCCCAAGACCAGACAATGTGCATGGGTATGGAAAGAATATGCTTTTGTGTGTAGTTGATTTGTTTGTTTTTTAAAGGAGGAGGACATGACTCTAATTTTTTGAGGAGTTTAAGGTGACATTAAAGACTGATCCATAGTTTTGGATTTTTGTGAATAAAGTATGTGAAGTTGTCCTTGGATTGGATGTATTAGTCTGAGGAAAAAAAAAATCACAATATTCTCAGAGATAGCTCCATGTTACTGAAGAATATATTAACCCCATTTTCACAAAAATACATCATAGTGGCTTATTTGACAGAGAAGTTTATAGGAGATATAACAGAGTGGTAGAGTTTGGAGATTAAAAAAAACCATAATTTTCAATTATTTAGAAATGTATTGAGCTCATGTTTCATTTAAAAAACAGAATTCTACATTTAATGTAACTTAAATCTATATTCATTTTGTATTAAAATGATGACATGATAGAGATGATATAAGAAGTAAGATTGCAAAATAAGAGTGTTTTTCTTGTTCTTTTAGCATTTCATAATCAGTTCTACAGGGTTTTAAAAAGAAAATGCAATGCATATGTGAATTTGGTTATCTTTGAGAAAAACAGCTAAAAATTATTTTGATTTTTGAAATAATGATCATCTAAATGTCAATTCTAAGCTATAGAGAAGTCAGTCTTCTATAACATAGGTGTGTTCCAATTTCAACTATAAACAGACATTTAAAATCTATTCACATTATAGTACATATTAATATACACCTTGAGTCTTCTCATACTTGGACTAAATCACATTTGTCAAACCATCTGAGCAGGATATGTGCGAAAGTGATTTGTATTAACAATCCAAAATTTTGAGAGCCTGATTACTCAAAACAGTAACTTAAATAATTCTAAAACTAATTCTAAAAATTCTGTATTATGAAATACAAATCTAGACAGTGACAGGTTATGGAAATGATCCATACAACAAAATGTTTACATTCTGTAAATAAATAAAATGTTTCAGAAAGTCCACAAGAATTAGGAGAACAAGATCTAAATACCTTCCAGATGCCCGTGAAACTCCAGAAATTACTGAAACACACAGCAGGAAACATTGACTTTTACTACCTTTTAACAAAGGATGTTTCCAAGAGTTCATAAGCAGACTTTATAATTCTGGATGTAGTATTGATATAATATATATACATATGTAATCTGACTTGTGAACAATGACCCAAAACAACTTTATAGAATGTTTTCAACAGGTTTTGGTGGGCTTAAGAGTAAAATGTGTACATAAAAATAGAGATAGTTCCAGGGCAGTGACACTCAATCCTTTGCACTAAGTTCTGATCATTAGTGTACAGTAAGAAATTAAGAAATATTAGTATGGAAAACAAAGACAGAATGCTTTGAGATACTGCACATGCACTTACTATTATCTTTGCATGTAACAGTATCTTTTATTTTAAACTACATATAAAAAATGCATCATGTAACATTTTCCTATTTGTACCCAGAAGCTGTAAAAATAAGTAGTATAGATACAAAATGTGATAGATGAAAGGAGAGACTGAGGTTTACAATATTTTCACTGTCCACAGGTAACACATTAATACATACCTTGGAAAATCAGTTCCCACATACAGTTTTGTTTCTTTTTGCAGATGTTGATGAATGTGAACATCATCCATGTGGAAATGGAACTTGTAAAAACACAGTTGGATCGTATAACTGCCTGTGTTATCCAGGATTTGAATTAACTCATAATAATGATTGTATGGGTAGGTCATGTAATCCAAACCTTATGTTCATTGCTCCTGGCTTACTATGCCAAAGACGATGGTATAGAGTTAAAACTCAAACAGGAGACAGGTCAGGGTGCTAATAAAGTTAATTAAGTGCAGTAACTTATACTGTTACAAGCCTTAAAGGTTAATCATTATTATGATTTTTTAAACTAATTCAAAATATTTTTTACTGGCCAGCTTGAGATAACACACACCCTAAATCTCTGGACCACTGGGGCAACCTTACAGTTCACTGACATCTTAATGCAGCCCTCACGTCCATTAGATTTCCTGGGTAATTACCATAATTGACCTTGACTACTGGCACATTCCATAGGCACCACTTGCATTAAGCATATATTATATCACACCACAAGTGTTGCCTCATGAACATAAAATCATTTCTTTATTTCACCATATTATTTTACACTTGCACACAGTGTGAAAGAGGAAGCAGACTAGCAGTAAGAAAGCTGCAACTAATCTACCAAATCTGCTCTCCTAAGATGAACTCCGCTTACACAGAGTCTATAAAGGCATTGCTATTTCCTATTCCCTAAAGCAGGGCACCAGAATATCTGATGGTTTTGGACAATTTAAATTCCTGGATACTTGTGATAAAGCAACTAAAATCTTCCTGGGCTGAAGAGCAGGCTTCTAAGTCTCTGGAGATCTTCTCCCTTGTGCAGAGCGTAAGCCAAAAGAGAAGGTTTTTCATTCCTTACTGCTACAGAAGAAAGACTACTGGTTCCTGCCTGGTTCAGGAGAGACTAAAACATCTTAAATAAGTAATTTAAATCCTCTCCGTGTCCAGGAAAGAGGAAATTAAAAACTTGTTCAAGAAAGAGAAGTCTGCTGCCAAAGAATGGCACTATTTGCCAAGGAGGTTCTTTCCCTTGGCAAGTATAGCTGCCAATCTACTGCCAGGAGCATCCAGCGCCTCTGCTCCAGGCTATGCCTTCAAGGAGGCCAAGAAGCCCAAACTGACTCAGAGACTTGGCCTTTTGTTAGCACTCCTCCTGGCAGCTTGGAGACCCTCAGGGTTGTCTTAGAAACTTTCCCAGTCATTCAAAGGGAATTTAGCCCATACCAATATAATACTTGGGAGGTATTTCTGCTTGTAGAACTGTAACACAGAAGAAATGCACTATGGAATAAACTAGTAATATAGACATGGCTATACTGGCTGAAGCAGAACGTACATCTTCAGGAGCTGGTATTTAGTGCTTCTGAAGAAAACTAAAACCTCTTCAGTGAAACTGATGTTAGTTTTCATCCTTCAAATTCAAGTATTTTGAGACACCGAAGTGTAAGTTATTCTTACACCATGATGCTTACGCAATCTCCTTTTTATTTATTCTGACACTTTCTCATCTGTGTTTTTCCTTATGCAGTGCTCCTTTTAAGTCTGCATTATTAAAGTAGCTTGACAAAATAATAAGCATTTTCAAACCTCATCTTCAGAACTTATGAAGGAGAAAATCGTCCTGTGGAAGGCAAATGACATGTTCCAAAATTTGAAAATGACAAGACAGGTTTTAGCAGGAAACTTGAGCACATATAAGTCCAGATAAAATCCAGAATACTCCATGTAACATTTTCTTTTCTGTGTCTGGAGTTAGTATCATACAGTCACTTGGCAGTAATCGCATGTCTCCAGATGCAGTGGCTGAGGTAATGCTGCAAGTTTGAAAATTATAATACCCTATAAAAAAAGAGCATTGTTTAAATAGAACATATACCTTAATGCACTTAAGTGAGAGTTGCTTTCAACTAGCTGTCAGCTGTTCCTTTGTTGCTGCAAGATTTGCCTTTTCCACAGAAATATATATTGCAACTTGAGTGTGTTTATTACATACTGTATATACTATGCTGGGACTCAACTCTTGCTTCTGGGTTTTTTGGGGGTTTTTTTATAGATATCAATGAGTGCAGTTCCCTCTTTGGTCAGGTGTGCAGAAATGGACGGTGTTTCAATGAAATTGGTTCCTTCAAATGTTTATGTAATGAAGGATATGAACTTAATCTGGATGGCAAGAATTGCATTGGTATGTATGATACCACATGGAGATGTTAAAGTAACGATCAGCTCAAATAATCAAACTATTAGCTCCCATCTAGAGGGAAGCAACACAGTCCGAGTATCTAAGTATAAAAAAAACCTAAACCAACAAACAGTAACTTTAATGAAAACACAGTAGAAGTAACTGGGTTTTGGAATAGTTGTTGATCTTCAAGCATTTACATGCCTCAGGAAAAGAAAATTACAAACGAATCCTACAGTCTTTTTCATGAATAAGCCTGCTTTGTTACCATAAGAATTATATGATTCTAAACCTTTCTTGATTCCATCTACTCTCTAAAGATACTAACGAGTGTGTGGCACTGCTTGGTTCATGCTCTCCTGGTACCTGTCAAAATTTGGAAGGATCGTTCAGATGCATCTGTCCACCAGGATATGAAGTAAAAAGTGAAAGTTGTATTGGTAAGGCAAGTTGTCATTGTTGCTTCTGAACAATTTAAAAAATAGAAAAAAGTATCTGGTTCTAATTTGGTGGAAAATAGTTGTACACCCTAATGTTTGTGAATGTTGCCCGCTTAAAATTGTGATAACAGGGAATAAGTAAGTAGGAAAATTCTTCAGAAATATGTTTTAAAAATGGAAGGCAAGATATTTTGTACTATATTGTACTGTAGATTGTACATTAACTTCTCCATTAATGCAAACAAAAATATTTACTTTTTAAAAAAATGGTATTATGTCTTTCATTCACTTTTTTTTTTTAATGCCATTCATAAAACAAACCAGCCTGGTACTGCATTTACATAATGTTTACAGAAAGGTAATTATTGGTAATCAATGCATGAACTAAGCTTCTGATGTCAGAGGGCTATGAGGTTTTAAAATCTTGATAAAATTATGGAGCTTATGGGAACAATTGCTTAAATTGTTTTCTTCTAACAAGTGTTTTCTGAGATTCACAGGAGGAGGAAGAGGATACAGCAGACCTTCCATCAGTTTGCGTGTTCTTGTGCATTTAAAGCCTTGATTATCATTCAGGAGCTGATCATCACACAATTAATTAAAATTTAGTGTGGCAGAGAATGAGAAATACATCCCAGTTACAACTCCCTTTTCCAGCAAAGCAAAGCACAGGAACACTGCGAATTTATTGGGCATGTAAAATAACTGTGTAGGGCACCTGGCAAGGAAGGTGCACACTACTAGTTTTAGGTAGCTAACCTAGAAGCTTTAGGTTTCTGCGTTGTCAGAGGACAGAGCAAGCACCTATCTCTCCACAGTGACTGTATTAAGAAACTCGGTTTTCAGCTTAAATGACTGAAGTTAGCTGGTGTGATAGCCCAGACACACATTCATCCAAATAACTTCCAATAATAAATGAGCAGCTTGTCCTTGTATGGACTGAAGAAAACAGTGGTGAGGACATAAAGATTTGGCCTGTAGCCACCTAATCTGTATGGGTGCAGGAACTGGATCGCAGGAACCTTTTTTAATTTTTGTCTTGAACAATAGGATATATTTTCTAAGCCCCAGAGTTCTCTCATCCTTTTGTATCATGCCACCATGCTCAGTTTGCCTGCCAACTTCATGGTTCCTTTTGGCAGCTGCTGTTTCCATATTAGCAATTATGTTTGAGATGAATTCAAATCACCTAGAATTTAAAATCATAAATTTCAAATGAAAGTGTTTGGTTTTCTGGGAATATCACTATTTATGGCCACTTTATTATCCTTACAGAACTTCTTGGTGTTTTTGACAGCACCAGTGACTGCCAAACAGATTTTTGCCCGAACTGAGTAAAAGGGACTTAATTGCATTTTTTTTCTTCATTCTGCCATATGTCCAGAAAATTTGCAGACTAAAGTTCCTATAAAATGCCTAGATGATCACATGTGATTGTACTAATACTTTGTTGAATATTATGACAGCTTTTGCAACATATGTTCTCCATGACTTTCTATTGATCTCATATGCAAACAGCTTTTTAAGAATTTATTACATCTGTGATGTGAAGGTTGGCAATGGCTAGATTACTTTTTGAGCTAAGGGTGATTTTATGCAGGAGAAACCAAAACAGATGGGAGCCACAGAAAAATTCTTGGTTTTCACCTAGCCGTATAATATATTTCCTTTCATTTTATGGGAATGAAGGGGAAAGGACTCGTTTACTTCCACAGTCTGGCTAGTCACCAGTCATCATGGCCACAAGAAGTGTTTCTTCCACTAGTCCCAAGCCATTCATTACAGTAACAATCAGTACTTCAAAAGAGCAGATTTTCCATCCCATTAATGCTGAATTGCTGGATTTTTTCTGCAACACTAACTGGGAAAATAATTAGCTTTTTTTCACTGAAATAAGCTGACTTAAGATGCTTCACATAGTAAGAGCCTGCCCATGGAAAGCTACTGTAGAGTTTGGCCATATGCCAGTGGTTTGTTCATGTGCTATACCTAGTAATAACTTCTGAAAATGGGACTCAAGGTCATATTTTTCAGAAGTAACGTCACAGAATCTACTACATGACTACTTCCATCACTATATTTTCCTAGTGATAAAGACTGCATTTCCATTGTTTCATTATCTGCCAAATACACATCAGTTTTCTAAGATTTAGTACAGTAGAGTCCAATAAATATCAGGACAAATGGTGCTACAAATTTGTGACTCAACATCCATCCATGGACCTTACTTTCATGGAGAATACCTATGCCTGCCTCCACTTCGATTAAGATCAATATGGATATTATTGTGGAACACTTATACAACCATAGGTCTCTGTGACAGTTCTTTTAATATCCCTTACAGAATGATTCGGGAGGGGTTGTACTGCAGGTATAGCCTTGAAGATTATTAAAATACACTTCAGAATTTATTAAATTATAATTACCTTTACAAATTACTTCAGCAAGGAGCCTTATATCTTCTGCCAGTATTTGCAGAATAGAATAAATTAAAATGATTGTAAAATAATAGGTATGAAAAATTAAAGGTCTATTAATGTATTACTTTTCTTACTCTCTCTGTTGTCTATACTAATGCATGGTATGCAGCCTGATACTGTTTGAGCTGCACAATTCTACAGGCATTTGATATTTATATTAAGTACTCTTTTATTTTGGTTTAAGTTTTTAATAATTATAAAAAGATCTCCACTTCAAAAAAAGTCTAAATCTCACATTTAAATAGTCATAGCAATATATTCTAAATTATGCATTTGAACAGGAAAAAAATTTAAATGACATATCAACAGTGACTGTGGAAGACTGGTAAAAATAAATCTGAATATATAAATATAAACATAGGTGTCCCTCTACTAATAACTAGCTATAGTTTCAGTTCAAGAATCAATCAGTCAATATGAAAAAAGCCCACCTTTAATTACAAAGAACCCTCAACATACAGATTTTTTTAAAATTCATCTTTGGATGTTTAATGTTTACAGAAAAGTATTTTTCGTATCAGAAATATGTCTTCTCCTCTGTTTTAGTCTGAAAGCATTTATTTAATGTCTATATTATAAATATGACAAAGAACAGAGAATGATATTTGGAGGAAAGTGCATGCCAGTGAAATTCTCTAATTTGAAATAGTGGAACCTTCAAGCTGCTTTATCGCTTGGGTGCTCTATTGGAGTAGCATCTCCTGCTGAAGTTAAATAATTAAATAAACAGTCTTTCTTAACCAAGGAATTCACAGCCAAAGGGGTTACAGTGAACGTTTTCTCCTTTACTTTACAGATATTAATGAGTGTAGTGAGGATCCCAACATCTGTCTTTTTGGCTCTTGTACGAACACTCCAGGAGGTTTCCAGTGCATCTGTCCTACAGGTTTTGTGCTGTCTGATAATGGACGAAGATGTTTTGGTAAGTTATTGATTAAAGAATGTAATAACTTAACTCTATCAGATAGCAGAGGTTTTGTGCTGTCTGATAATGGACGAAGATGTTTTGGTAAGTTACTGATTAAAGAATGTAATAACTTAACTCTATCAGATAGCAGATACTCTGTAGATCCCTTCCAAACTATGCCCCTGAAAGGTTTGGAAAGTGCTTTCTAAATCGTATGTAAAGAACAGGCTTAACAATATTCCTTTCAGGGCCAGGCAGTCATCATCTAACTAGGAAGGAGGTGCTATCTCCATGTAACTGTATTTTCTTTTTTAGATACTCGCCAGAGCTTCTGTTTCACTAACTTTGAGAATGGGAAATGTTCAGTGCCGAAGGCTTTCAACACCACAAAGGCAAAGTGTTGCTGCAGTAAAATGCCAGGAGAAGGATGGGGTGATCCTTGTGAGCTCTGTCCAAAGGAAGAAGAAGGTATACATCAAGATTTAAAATAAAGCCTTTTTAAGTGGGAGAAAAGGAAAAGCACATTTGTGGGGTACCTTTTTGATCATTAGGAGAGATCTTTTTGGCATTCTTTCTTAATGGCCTTTTCTAGAACTATTTTCAGGTCAACAGAAGGAACAAAATTAAATAGAAAAAAACACAGAAAAAGAAAAATAGAGTTGTTTTTCCTCTGTAAAGAAGTGAACTAGTAGCCTCTATCTGTAGATCTAGCCTGCTTTAGGCGAAAGAGAAGAGCAAAATGGGACAGTGCCAAGAATCCCTGAAGTAATCAACAGTTTTCAGTTCTTGGTTTTCTCCAAGTACTGAAAGGGAAAGGCACCAAGCACGCGCACACAGAAGCTCAATGAGTTCTAGTGCTGCTTCCCCGACCCAGAGACAGTGTCACTTTTGCATCTGGCAAGACAGCATAATGACTGTGATTTAAACAGTTGAGAGTTTTGAAAAATGTGATATAGAGGATTTTTGGGTGGCTTTAATGATCTGTCATGGTTCTCTCCCTCACTCAATCTTTTTTTTTAAAAAAAACCCATACTTCTATAGTTGCTTTTCAGGACCTGTGTCCATATGGTCATGGAACTATTCCTGGAATTGATGATACACGTGAAGGTAGGTATTCTTTTTCCTAATAATAAAAAAAATATTTATACTTAAAACTAGACTTGAATGTTATAGTACATGATGGCTTACTCCTCACAGCCCCAGGTGACAAGAGGCTGACCTTTAATAAATGTAGGCCATTATGAAATGATGGTTAAAAGCTTACCTTTGAAATTGCCTGGCTAGAGAAAAAGAGAATAGGGTGCTTTGGGTTTTTTAACTGCTTTTTTAAGACTTGATATGGAAATGCATCAGCTAAGTGGTTGCTAATATCTTTCTGCTTTTTAGATGTCAATGAATGCCTTGAAAGCCCTGGGATTTGCTCAAATGGTCACTGCATCAATACGGATGGATCATTCCGCTGTGAGTGCCCCATGGGATACAACTTAGACTACACTGGAGTACGTTGCATCGGTGTGTCCATATTTCATAAATTATAAGAATTGTAACACTTGGATTTCAAATACAATTTGAAATGTGTCCCAGTTTTCTTCAGTTTGTGTTTACTCATTATATACAGATACTGATGAATGTTCAATTGGCAACCCATGTGGAAATGGTACGTGCAGTAACGTGATCGGCAGTTTTGAGTGCAGCTGTCACGAAGGATTTGAACCAGGCCCAATGATGAATTGTGAAGGTAACTTGTCCTCTTTATTTTTGTTTTTCTTTAGTTTTTCTTCATTCCTCAGTATTTGAATTACTTTATTAACAAGGCCTTTAGTACTACAATAACTAGAAGAAAAAAATGTCTCTGCCTGATATATGTAATTGAAAAAGAAGTCCTGAATTGTTTTAAGCAGTATTTTTAGTTTATCACAGGATTTTCCAAACTGCATGTTGTGGTATGTGGTATGTTATGCTATTCAGCTGTTGGAAAAGGGTGGGGGGCGAGGGGGCAGGGAAGGGAAAAGTGACTGTTGAGCCCCCAAAATATCCTCAGAAATGGTATAGCTAAACATGGCAAAAATGCCTGAATTTGCAGAGCATTTTTTGTAACTGAGGCAGAGGAGTTATGAACTGACCCACTTACCACACTTACAGTAAGAAGTGAGTTATACTGAATGTAATAAAGTGAAGTCAGACCACTGGTCCCTCTAGTTCATTATTTCAAACCTCATAGTTGAAATGCTAATTCAGCTTACAATCGTGACTAACAACTTTCTGCAGTTCACTCCCCTAATACAAGAGCTGAGGATAGAGGGAGAATATGATATAAACTGGGGGATGCATCCCTGCAGAGTAGGTTTAGTATCTACCTATAGACAGGTAGATACTTCTGTCCAAGAAGCTGTCCAGTACCATCTTGAATCCACCGATACTATCGACCTCCACAGCCTCTTGTGGCAGCAAGATCCAGAATGTCACTACTTAGAGAAGTATTTTCTTTCATCTGTTTTAATCTAATCCCCTATTAGTTTCATTAAGTACCTCTTATTTTTCATAGTGTGGGATTTGTGTACAACAATTCTGCTCTCATTGGATGTTGATCAGGATGCTTCTTACAAATTTTATATTTTATGAATCATAATTAATTTGCTTTCTGAAGCAAGAATTCAGTTTTTTAAGATTGGAAAAAAGCCCACATCGCTCATCACACAAAAATACATTTAAAAATGACCATATAATAAAAATCTGAAATAGGCCTGTCCCAACTTGTCATTCTAAGCTCAGGTTGTTCCATATTTATTATGCAATTATTTTTAAGCAGAGCTTTCTTCAATTTTCTCTGACTACTCAAAACCACACATCCACAAGGTTCTGGTTTGAATTATTGCATTTCTGATACATTTAGATGGGAAGAGAAGCACAGGTATAAGAAAACCTTGGTGATTGTTTAAAAATTAGTAGAGAATGATTATTTTGTTCCTTTCTGTTCAGATATAAATGAGTGTGCTCAGAATCCCTTGCTGTGTGCTTTTCGTTGTATCAACACTTACGGTTTCTATGAATGCACATGTCCAGTCGGCTATGAACTAAGAGAAGACCAAAAGATGTGCAAAGGTACGACGTATACACTTTTCTCTAACTTCCATCACCTTGTATAGGCCAAAGCATAATCAAAATATTTCTGTGTATCTTGCATTCATCCTCTCAGTGGAATGTAGCAAACAGTCCAATGGATAATGATTTACTCTTTCAGAACTCGTGTAAGGCCAGTATGTAGTGTTTTTGTTATTAAGTGTACCCCCTTGATGGGGATTATAAACCAAGAAGGTCACAGTGATGAAGTTCATCTTTACCATGACAAGATGATACAGCTCACAAAGATTAAGACAACTGCAATTAAGCATAGCTCTCAGAATTTTCTTCCAGGCTCGTTAATTAGGGAAGTCCATATGTCCTTTTTCTTGAAAAAATGCTAGTTGTCTTCAGTAACTGAAGCTACTGGAAGGAAGTTCAAACACAAAATACATATTTTTTTACAGATCTAGATGAGTGTGCTGAAGGTCTCCATGACTGTGAATCAAGAGGCATGGTGTGCAAAAATTTGATTGGTACCTTCATGTGCATTTGTCCTCTTGGAATGACCCAGAGACCTGATGGAGAAGGCTGCACAGGTAAAGCTTAGAAAGGGAAGAAGACATCTACTGGAATGCAAACAAGTGAAAAATTCTCTGTTTATGTATACAGCAAACTAGAAAACAGCAATTCATAAAGGGAACTTAAGATCACGAATGATGTACAACATCTTAAACTCTCTTTTTTGTTTCAAGGTTTGAGCCTTATCTGAAAGTAGTTCTGAATGATTCATAAGTACTTCAGAAGAAAAAGTCTAGTTTTGTTTCTTTTGTTATACAACAAAATCAGAAAGTTTTTCAGACACTTGTTAGACTTAAAATATTAAGTTGCCAAGCAAAAGAGACCTAATTTGACTACGAGGCAGAATTGTCATAAACAAAAAGTTACATTTCCTTTAGCATTAATACTATTTATAAATAATGTCACAGTTCCTTAGAGAGTTAAAGCTGTAAGATTCTGAAACAACATATAAAAGCCATGAACAACAAAAGATGTGGAGACTGCCATAGTTCAAAATAATTCTCCATTATCTAAGTAAGCAAACAGCTTTCCACCATCATTTTTTCAATAAGTTGAGGAGGAAACAACAGCTACATTTTGGCAAATTATACTTTCTTTTGGTACATAAAAAAAACCCAAGACCATTCCAAAGCTCTCTGTGGACAGAAGTAGCTGAGGATGTCGTTTGCTCAGAGGGGAAAAAAAAAATAAGCATCCATCTCAGTGAATACTTTAAATGAAAATATTTTAAAACAGTGCTCCTTCAGCAAGAGAATGACTACTCTCTTTTACAGATTTTTTTTTTTTTTCCAGGGGAAATAATCAATGTTAACAAGAATTTTGCCTTTTTTGCCATGTAATGCTGCCTTTAAATCACTTGAGTTTTTTCTGAGACTTTATTTTAAACATCTGTAAAGCTATGTAAATGCTTACAATATCTGTGCCACTAGCTACGGAAGAAAGTGCACTAGGATTGTAAACTGTTTCAGGGAAATGATGTTTGGACTGAAATGTGACTGATTGCAGAAGTCAAACGTATTCAGAGACCCTTAATGATTGCAAAGTGGAAATTTCTTAATCAAATCATGCATATATTCCAATTTTATTTAAATGTCATTTGCCAGGTAAAAGTTATGACTAGAATTTGCTCTGCTGCAAATGTTTTCTGCAAAAGTTGCAAAGAGCATACAAGGATTAAAGCTTTTGTCCTAGGATGCAGTACATAAGAAATGGAATAGGATAGTGTGATTAGGAAAGTCCTTTCCGGGTTTAATCAGTTGTTCATTTTCTACTTCTTGCAAATATTTTGCAAATATTACAGAGAATAATTAATAAATTTTATAAGCTTGATATATTTTCTTGTAATAATTTATTTAATTGGTTTAATTTTATTTTTGTAAAGATGAAAATGAATGCCGCACCAAGCCAGGTATCTGTGAAAATGGTCGTTGCATGAACCTTATTGGGAGCTACCGATGTGAATGTAATGAAGGATTCCTGCCAAGTCCATCAGGCATTGAGTGTCTTGGTAAATGCCTCTTTCATATACATTTCGTCTTACATTAAAGTATAAAGGATGCAGAGTGTAAATTAGGCTTCTAAGTGCCTAACAGCTCTCATATCTACAGAAATTAAATTATGTTCCTTAGTAATTAAACAATGATATGACATTAAGTAATCATAGGAATGAGGATCATCTTGAAAATGTCAGCTGAGTCTACTAATCACATAGAAGTGTCTAAATTCCAAAGGACATAAATACAGTGCTGAGCAACACTATCCAGACAAAATACAGGGTTTTTTTAAAGAAGAAGCAGAGTTTAGTTACCTTAGATAGATCAAAAACTGGGATGCAGAGCAAAGTTAAGTGTTTGCATATTCAGAATGCAATCAACACCTCAGTACTGCAATGAGTCATCTGAATTTTCTATACTTTTAATTCAGACAGTGATTATGAATACAAAATATTGGGATTTCACAAAAGAATTGCAAGATCTATTAAAAAGTTTTGAGGCGAGTCTGCATAATAAATGTTGATGAAGGGGTTTATCTTCATCAACTTGTATTTCCTTTTCAATATGCTCAGACTTGTCATTTGTACTACAAAATTCATTGTTCCCTTTATAGAAAGCAAACAAAACTGCAAAACCTTACTTTCTTATTATCACTGTTCAAGTGTAGATACTTCAAAGTGTTTTACAATACTTGAAACTGTATGAGTATTTATTAGTATTCTTGCATCAAAAATACTTGTATATTATCTTATGTAAGTACTGTAAAAACAGCTCCCTGTAAGTTGTCATTAGTAGCATGTTGACTTCAGGCAAAGCAATAACATTGGAAGAGCAGGGAATTTCCTACGGATTAAGACCAGATGGGAAGAGGATGCCACAGTGTGTTAACCCCAGCCAGTTGTTAATGCCAAGGAAATACCCTGTTTGGAGGTCATTCTTGTTTTCTTGTATTTAATATATGGTTTTCTTATTATTTTCTGGAAACTATGCTTTGGGTTAGTTTCTCATTGCTACTTTTCCTTTAGGATTTCCTGGGTCAGAATTTACAATGAAGAATAAGCCTGGCAGAAAAAAAAGTATTTCTTAGTAATTACAGCACAAACATTAAGTCTTAGATGACATTATTTAAAATATATTGTGCAAACCTTTATATTCCATTCACATTAGAATTCATTCCACATCTCAAATTGGGGACAAAGCATTATATGTTCTTCAAATCATAATATGCATAAAGACCTGCACAATATACCTAACTGGGAGAACAGAAATCTGCTGAGTCTTGCAAATTACTACAGCAAACATGCTGTCTCACACAACTGGTGCGTTCAGTGACAACAGCTTTATTTGATGTAAACAGTTGAGTTATGGGGCACCGAAAGTAAGTTTTGCGCAAAGCCAAAGTTCACATTTTACCTGATTCATGTAAGAAATGTACAGATTCTACTCCTCATACTTGTAAAAGAGAAGATCAGCTGGGTGTTGATACATGTAAACATTCTGAGGGATCTGAAGGATTTTAACTTTTAGCTTTAAGAGAAAAAAAATAAAATCTTTCATTTAAAAACATAAGCATCTGTCCAACTATAATTGACAATGTCTCCAATTTAATTAACAAATAAGAAAGGTGACATAGCCTATTTAGAAGATATCATCTGTGCAAAATTTAGTTTCCATTGTCACTGGAAGCTGGGATCTCTGCTCTCCTCAGCTGCCTGTTTGAAGGAAAGTGGCAAGGAGCTTAATGACTCTGAAGTTTTGCTCCTCTTTCATGACTGACAGGTATTAATTAACCAAAATGTTTAAAAATTAAGGAAAATATAATTAGAAAGGGACAGATCAACAGTAAGGCCATATTTTTATTTTTTTCCCCAGCGAAAACTAGGAGTGCCAGTGAAAAAGTACTGAGTTGTATAGACACTTTTACATGCTAAGGATTTTGTCATTTGTACCACATCAGGATAATTATAGAAGATCAGACATGATATTTTGGCCAGTAAAACGAACAGACTTCTAATCCCATTCCAAGTAAATCATTCAAATGCAAGTCAAACATAGGCAACTTAAGTGGAAGCTCAGTTTGGCCCACAGCCTGTTTTACTATCAAGCAAACTCACCAGATATGCCCTGGGGACAGCTTTCCTGCAAGTAAAATTCGTGTCCAACTCATCCAGGTATGGAACTTTAGGGATGTCCGGAATACACTGGGAATGGCAGCAGATTATCAGAAGACACAACAAATCTGAAAGGCTAAGTCAAAATAGTCTTCATAGACTGGTTGCTAATAATCTTCTAGTTCTTGCTCTAGTGTTGATGGAAAGCCAGAATAATACATCAGATGCTTAATGGATCAGATGTTTATCTCCTACTCTATCTTGATCTCTCTACTTCTTCCTTACAGATAATCGCAAAGGGTTTTGCTTTGCTGAAGTTTTACAGACAATGTGTCAGATGGCTTCAAGCAGCCAGAATCTTGTCACTAAATCTGAGTGCTGCTGTGATGGAGGCCGGGGCTGGGGCAACCAGTGTGAGCTCTGTCCACTTCCCGGAACCACCCAATATAAGAAACTCTGTCCACATGGACCAGGCTATACTACAGATGGAAGAGGTATTTGCAGGGAGGAAAAGGGGCAGAAGAGGAGAAATGGATATGCTTATATATTTAAGAAAATGCAGAATTCTCTTTGAAGTTCCTTTGAAGAATTTCCTACAAAACAATAGTTTGATTTTTCAAATGTTGCCAAGAGACCAGAAATTAAAAACACATTTAAACAGTAGCTGCAACCGGAATACTCAAGCTGTTTAGAATTTTCAGGATTGGGATCTAAAACAGCAGGTACCAAACAAACTAAAAGTTAGAAATGATCCCAAAGCTTTTGTACGCTGAAAAGTTGCATACATGACAGAGGCAACAGCAGTGGTTCTAATAATAGTGTCACTGAATGCTTTGCAGTTATTATTTCCACACAGGAAGCAGAAGCTAACATACATTTTTTAATTGTGGTGAAAAAAATTTTGACATCATCTAACTGGTCATAAGAAAATTCACTTCTATGCATTTTGTATTTTGACTTAGCAAAACTGGAAACTGATTACCCCATGAAACAGCAGGAA